AGACTGGAGATCACAGGATGCTACTGCATATAGATGACATTGTTGCTGAAAGGCAAATAAATAAAGTTAAATTGCTAACTTCAACATAGCCTTGGTTTGTATCTCAAACAACAAAGATATCTGAAAAAGTTTTTTTTATTCCAACTTCTAGAGAGACTTTTTTGCTTTCTTTAACAAAAGTGAACTTCCTTTTCTTCTACTCATTCCCAGTAGGACAAATGATCATCTTGTTATTACAGCTTTTCTTTCCCTGCCTTAGGGCAAAGCTCTGTTTGACATTAATGGAAGCTCCAAGTCTGGCCCAGAAATGTGGGGACAAGATGCAGGGATGAGATCATGAAAGAGGACATGAAATTTAATATTCATAAACTCAAATGTACTTTCCATGATGTTCAAATAGAGAAATAAAAATATATCAGCATTTCAGCAAAACACTTGTTATTCTTGCGAGCTTTATTATTAATTTATGTAGAAAGACAGTTGGCAGAGATACAAGGAAAAAGACTAGAAACGAACTAGGATTACAGATCCATTCCTGTTTTTCTCTCCAGGACTTAGTCTAACACTCTCACATGTTTTGTTTTCACAAATTTTTCAGTCCTTCTTTATCAGGTTTCACCACTGTGCATATCATATTTTCGTCAACCCAAAACATTATTGTGACACTCTGAAAACACTTTTTGAATCAAAGAGAAACTGGCACAGACTACTAATGAAACTAGTAAGTTACATCAGCTTTTATAAATATCTTTTAATCACAGGTAATCTTTTGGTTAAATCCTTGTTCTTATAACTCAGGAGTGATAGTTAATTTTTTAATTATCGAAGTTTTGTGCTCACATTGATTATATTTAAACTTTAAATGGAATAGATTTGGGGGAATTATTATGATTCCTCTTCAACATCTCAAAGATTTTTTTGGCTGGTTGCGGTGGCTCACACCTGTGATCCCAGCACTTTGGGAGGCCAAGGCAGGCAGATCACTTGAGGTCAGGTGTTCAAGATCAGCCTGGCCAACATGGTGAAACCCCGTCTCTACTAAAAATACAAAAAAAAAAAAAAAAAAAAAAAAAATTAGCCAGTCATGTTGGAGTGCACCTGTAATCCCAGCTACTCAGGGGGCTGAGACAGGAGAATCACAAGCATGGGAGATGGAGGTTGCAGTGTGCCAAAGATTGCTCCTCTGGACTCCATCCAGCCTGGTCAACAGAGCAAGACTCTAGCTCAAAAAGTATATATATTTTTTTCTTCGCCCTTTGGAGCCAATTTCAACCTACCTAAAATGTTAACAGGAATAGCTACCACTAGATCGACATGGATTACTTTTTCTATTTTTCTTTCTTTATACTGTATTTCATTTTTTCCTCTGCGCTTTTCAAACTTTCTACAAAATTGGCAATAAGTTAAACATATTTTAATCAAATAAGATATAAACTAACTGTGTGTGTGCATGTGACGGAATCTTGCTCTGTCACCTAGGCTGGAGTAGAGTGGCCCGATCTCAGCTCACTGCAACCTCCACCTGCAGGTTCAAGCAATTCTCCTGCCCCAGCTTCCTGAGTAGCTGGGATTACAGGTGCCCACCACCATACCCAGCTAAATTTTGTTTTTTAGTGGAGATGGAGTTTCACCATGTTGGCCAGGCTTGTCTCAAACTCCTGACTTCAGATGATCCACCTGCCTGGCCTCCCAAAGTGCTGGGATTACAAGCATGAACCACTGCGCCTGGCCTAAACTAAGTTTCTTTTGGGACAACATTTATCACAGTTCTATGGAAAAAGTATGTTTTATACAAGATTCTGAATGGAGGTAGTGCTGTGACTTGGCAGAGATGAGAAGAGAGAAGCAATGCTCAGAGAACAATGACAGATAAGGGTTACTTCACAGGAAGCATAATTTTGTGACCAACTTTGAAGCACATTGGAAAGAGCTCAGAACTTGTGGAGGATTGTTTTCACTGTAATTTTCACAGCACAGGATATTACAAGGTCAAACTTGTGTGTTATAATGATTATTCCTATAGCAATATTTGCATAAGCTAGATATTCTGTTAATATATTTTCTTTGATTGACTGCTAGTTACTACTCTGTCTAGTTCATTGGATTTTGAACATTTCTATTGAAAACTCACATATAAAATATATTTTATATATGGCAACCCAGTGTACATAAGCATTCACACATACACATTCAAGTCATATACCTAGAGCTATATCAATACTTATATCCATATCAATACCCATATTTTTTGGTATATAAAATTGTGCTGCAATATTTACACTTGCAACATGGAATACACTCCTGTTCTATTCTATTCTATTCTGTCCTCTATTCTATCTTTCTCTATTCAATTATTTCCATTCCATTGTGACCTACGAAGGCCCATAGCTTGAAAAAAAAATGCTGGTTTAGTAAATGCTTAGGTGACAAAGTCCTTTTGCTTGAAAACGGAAGCATGGTAAATATTATAATATTTTGTTATAATATATTGTTGCAGCAGTCCCAACTTAATACAAAAATATAGCCCAGGCCTGTGGAAGTATAAAAATAAAATAATATTCTATAATTAGAACCATCATGACTTGTCTTGGGACCTTTTGATGGGAACAAGAGAGAACTGAAAACGACTCGTGTTATGTATCTAAAGGATCTGAAGCCAATGACTTTGTAGGGAGTATTGGAAATATCAGAAAAGGGTAATTATTTGAGGGTGTGATGTGGCCCTTTACGCTTTATTTCAGACAGAAATTTTTGTCCATTGATGTAGTTAAAAATGATCAACATCTCAATGTGTCTTTTTCCCTATCTTAAAAAAAAACTTTTCTATTAATTCATAAGCATTGCACAGGGAGTTATTTTGATTTCCATGTCTTTCTTTATTTGCCACAGTGCTGAATATGATGTTCTATAAAAACATAGATGACAGACGTGTTAAAAAAAAAAAAAAAACAGCTTGTCTACTGAAACATTCTTCTTAAGAAGTTGCATGTGTGCAATTCTCTCCTCTTTATTCACCAGCACTTAGTACAATTGAGAGGTCTCTTCTATTTGCAAGAGGAAGAGTTTGGTCTAAGACAGAACTTGGTTTAAATTCCAGCTCCTGACACTTAACAGCCTTGGAATCTTGAGAAAGAGCATAGTGTCTCAATTAGTCAGTATGTTTTCAGTGGCAAGTAACAGCATCTCAAATCAACCAGGTTTGGGCAAAAAGTTAAATCTAAGTCTAACATGACTGTGTCATTATCTTGCAAATAATGATTCCAGGCATCTATGACTCTTGCTTTCAGAACTCTCTTTCTTTCTCTCTATTAGCTTTATTCTCAATCTCACTGTAAGTCTCTTTGTGTTAGCAAAAAAAGGGCTCTAACAGCTCCAAACTTGTATTCTACAGTTTAACAACTCCCAGGGAAAGAGAACTGCATTTTTAATTGTTTCAGAAAAATGCCCTGGGGCTAATGTTGATTGGTTCTAATTCATCTGAGTTGAGTCATATGCCCATATTGGAACCAACTGCTGTAACAAAGAGGATGCAGTGCCTTCATTTGCTAAACATGGACCACGAACCCACCACTAGAACCTGGAGAGGATCCATCTCTCTGAACCACAAGGGTGGAGATTAAGAATTCTCCAAAGGAGGCTGGGCGCAGTGGCTCAGGCCTGTAATCCCAGCACTTTGGGAGGCTGAGGTGGGCGGATCACAAGATCAAGAGATCGAGACCACCCTGCCCAACATGGTGAAACCCCGTCTCTGCTAGAAACACAAAAATTATCCAGGCGTGGTGGCACCCGCCTGTGGTCCCAGCTACTCGGGAGGCTGAGGCGGAAGAATCGCTTGAACCCAGGAGGCGGAGGTTGCACTGAGCGGAGATTGCGCCACTGCACTCCAAGCTGGTGACAGAGCAAGACTCCGTCTCAAAAAAAAAAAAAAAAAAAAATTCTCCAGAGGAAAATTAGAAAACACTTGGAGAACAAGAGGCACAAAATAATAGACTTCCACTTCATCTCATAAAGCTTTAGTTTCTTTACATCTAAAATATGGATGAATTTTGAATACGGTTGGTGTGAAGATTAGAAATAAGGAGAAGATAAAAAACCTGGCAAAAGAGTAGTTAATGAGAGAGAAAATGAAAATAATAAAGCAAACAGAGCAAAATAGTAACAACAGGAGAATCTAGGTAAAAGGATACATTAGTTTTCCTTTTACTATTTTTATTTTTAAAAGTTTGAAATTATTTCCACATAAAATATATTTTTTCCATGTAAAAAAGAGTATGTCTAACCTCTGGTTTCCTTTTCCACATGTAAAGACCTTGGAAGTAGTGGCTGTGTCCTAACAACAAGTAAAAAAAAAAAAAAAACTGAACAAACTGAAAAAGCAACAACTCTTCTTGAATCTCAACGAAAGAGGAGGACATGGAGCAGACCACTGCCCTCAAAAGTGGAGAGACAAGTGAATACAGAAAGTGCCAGAGCAGATGTGCAAGCTGAGACCTGAGGAAGCAGCGTCGGGGGAGGAAAACACAAACGGCAGTGGACAAATTGTTGGAGGCTAATGGTGGACACTTCTGAGAGAGAAAAACTCCAGGAGAACCCAGTCAGAGGGAGGCCTCGACAATATTGTGAGATTTATGTTCAGATCAAGCAAGGTACCACAGTAAATACGGGGCGGGGGGGAGGTTGGTGGCGGGGAGGGGCGGGAATCACACTTTTAGCAGAAAATGAACCATTTTGAAATTTATCAGAGTATTTTGTTCTTTTTTTTTTTTTTTTTTGAGATGGAGTTTCGCTCTCGTTACCCGGGCTGGAGTGCAATGGCGCGATCTCGGCTCACTGCAGCCTCCACCTCCTGGGTTCAGGCAATTCTCCTGCCTCAGCCTCCTGAGAAGCTGGGACTACAGGCGCGCGTCACCACGCCCGGCTAATTTTTTGTATTTTAGTAGAGACGGGGTTTCACCATGTCCAGGATGATCTCGATCTCCTGACCTCATGATCCGCCTGCCTCGACCTTCCTAAGTGCTGGGATTACGGGCGTGAATCACTGCGCTTCTTAACAAGATCCTCAGGAGAAACTAGTTAACAAAAGTCTTCTGGGGCATTATCAGAGCCTAACTAACCTGGGGAAGGGAAATATCCAAATCCACTCAGCTCTAGGCTTTCACATAGGAGAAGGGAAATATCCAACTCTGCATCCTCTAGCTTTCCACGTTGGGGAAAGGAAGATACCCAACTCCAGTCTCCTCTATCCATAATGTTCCATTTAAATGAGGGGACTGGAAGGCACTTTGAAGCCACAGCCCAGAGGCACAGCCTCACTAAAAGACTTGAGACTTAATCACAGGACTACAGAACATTTCTCCCCTCACACTTCATCACCACATGACTAAGGCCTACTTAACCAAATTATTTTTTACCCAGTAAATCATGTCTTCCTCTAAACAAAAAAATTGCAAGTTACACTGTAAAGCAGTAACGCAGTTTGAAGAGGCAGAATAAGCATCCGAACCAACCATATATGGTGGGAATGTTGGAATTAAACCAATAATTTTTTAAAACTACAATTAATATGATAATGGCCTTAATGCAAAAAGTAGACAACATACAAAAAGGGATAGATAATATAAGCAGGGAGATGAAAATTCTAAGAAAGAATCAAACAAATGCTAGATATCAAAAATGCATCTGCAGAAATAAAGCATGCCTTTAATGGTTTCATCAGTAATCTGGACAAGGCTGAGGAAAGCCTCTCTTAGCCTGAGGATATGACCATAGAAACTTCCAAAACTGAAAAGCAAAGTGAAAAAAGAAAAAAAAAAAGAACAGACTATCCAAGCCCTGTGGGACAACCATAAAACATGTAATCCATTCATAATGAAAAATGCCTGAAGGAGAAGAAAGAGAGAAACAGAACAAATATTTGAAACAATAATGACTAAAATTTTCCCAAGATTAATGTCAGACACCAATTTATAAAATTAGGATGCTCAGAGAACATTAAACAGGATAAATGACTCAAAAAACAACAGCTAGGCCTACTATATTCAAATTATAGAAAATGGAAGATAAAAACTTCTGAAAGAATCCAGGGGCAGGGAAAGGGGGAGTGGGGATTCTTACCTATAAAGCAGGGGTCCCCAGCCGTGGGCCAGAGACCTGTACTGGCCTGTAGCCTGTTAGGAACTGAGCTGCACAGCAGCAGATGAGCGACAGCAATCGAGCATTACCACCTGAGCTCCGCCTCCTGTCAGATCAGCCACATTAGATTCTTATAAGAGTGTGAACACTATTGTGAATTGCATATGCAAGGGGTCTAGGTTGCACGCTGTTTATGAGAATCTAATTAATGCCTGATGATCTGAGGTGGAAGAGTTTGACCCCATCTGTGAAAAAATTATCTTCCATGAAACTGGTCCCTGATGTCAAAAGGTTGGGGATTGCTGCTTAGAGGGGCAAATTGTATTTGACTTCTCAGAAACCATGCAAGCAAGAATAAAGTGGAATCAAATCTATGACATATTGAAAGGGAAAAAACCCACTAATCTAGAACCTCGTACCGTGTGAAATTATTCTTCAAAAGTGAAGAAGAAATAAAGGTTTTCTTAAACAAATAAAAATCGAGAGAATTTGTTGCCAGTAGGCCTGCCTTGCAAGAGATGTTAAAAGAAGGTCATCAGAAAGGAGGAAACTGACCTAGGTCAGAAACTTGCATCTACGTGAAGAAAATAAGACCAATAAAGAGAAGACAGGTGAAAGTAAGAAAAAAACTTTTCTGATTGTTGATTGATCTGATAATAATTTGTTCAAAATAACAATGTTTTCGATTATATACGCTTATGTATGATTATATATGAGTGAAATGAATGACAGGAATGATACAAAGAATGTGATGAAGAAATTCAAATTATTTTTTAAGTTATTCACACTATCTCCGAAATGCTATCGTGTTATTTAAAAGTGGATTTGGATTAGATGTGGAGGTTCATTGCAAGCACTAGAAAAATATTTTTTAAAAATCAAAAAGAAAAATAATAAGCTAAAAAGGGAAAGAAAATGGATCTGTAAAATAATCAATTAAAACCACAAAAAGCAGAAGTAACAGGAGATAAAAACAGAAATAAAGAACAGAGGGGCCAGGCATGGTGGCTTATGTTTATAATACCAGTGCTTCGGGCGGCCAAGACAGGAGGATTGCTTGAGGCCAGGAGTTTGAGACCAGCTTGGGCAATATAGTGAGACACCATCTCTACAAAAAATTTAAAAATTAGCTCAGCATGGTGGCACATGCCTGTAGTCCTAGTTACTCAAAAGGCTGAGGCAGGAGGATCACTTGAGCAGGGGAGTTTGAGGCCACATTGAGCTGTGATCATATTACGGTACTTCACACTCGGTGACAGAGACATCTGAAGAAGAAAAGAAAAAAAAGGAAAAGAACGCCTTGAAGAGAAAACAGTACAAATATGGTAGATGTTAATACAACCATCACTTTGAACATCAATAGTTTAAATGTACTATTTGTAAGACAGATTGAGTAGATTTTTTAAAATACCAAAATATATATTGTCTGCAAGAAGCCTCCTTTAAATATAAAGGCACATATAATTTAGAAGTAAATTAATAGAGAAAAATATGGCATGTTAACACTAATTAGAAGAAAATGAAATAGGTATATTAATTTCAGACAAAGATGACTTCAAAGCAAGGAAAGTAATCACAGATAAAGAAGAGCATTGCATAATGATAAAGGAGTCAATTCTAAGGATATCTAACAATTCTTCATGTATAGTCACCTAATAACAAAGTGTTAAAACAGCTGAGGCAAACACTGATAGCACAGCAAAGGAGAAATAGGTGAATTCATCATTATAGCTGGAGACTGCAACATCCCTTTGTCAGAAATGGACAGATCCAGCAGGCATAAAATTAGTAACAACCTAGTTGAACTAAACAACACCATCAGTCAACTGTACATAACTGACATCTATGGATTATTTTATCAGGCAGCAGCTAATTACAAAGTATTCTCAAACTTACATGAAACATTCATGAATATAGATCTTATTCCGGGCCATAAGACACATCTTAACAAATTCAAAAGAATATAAATTAGGAAGTGTCTACTTTCAGACAAAATGAAATTAAACTAGAAATCAATAATAAAAAGATAACTGGAAAAATCCCACATCCCAAAATGCACACAGATTAAGCCACATGCTTTTTTTTAATACAAGGGTTTATTTTGTCACCCAGGCTGAAGTTCAGTGGCATAATCATAGCTCACTGCAATCTTGAACTCCAGGGCTCAAGCAATCCTCCTGCTTCAGCCTCCGAGTAGCTAGGAGTACAGGCACACACCACCATTCTGGGCTAATTTTTAAAATAACTTTTGTAGAGACAAGATCTTGCTATGTTGCCCAGGCTGGTCAGCAACACGCTTTTAAATAACATGTGGGTCAAAGAAGAAATCTCAAGAGAAAATTTAAAATATGAAATTTATAAAATGGAGCAAAAACAGTGCTTAGAGGAAAATTTATGGTATTAAAATGCACATATTAGTTTAAAAAAAAAGCCCTAAAATCAATATTCTAAGTTCCTATCTCAGAAAACTAGAAAAAAAGCAGCAAATTAAATCCAAAGTAATCTATAAAAAAAAAATAAGAATTAGAGCAAAAATCAAGTCAATGAAATTGAAAATAGGACATTAATAGAGAAAAATCAACAAAATCAAAAGCTCGTTCTTTGAAAAGAACCAGAAAAAAAAAGAAACAAACTAATATCAGAAAAGAAAGATGTGACATCATTATAAAGCCTATAAACATTAAAAGAATCATAAAGGAATACTGGGAGCAACACATACACAAATGTGATAACCTAGATAAAAAGGAGCAATTTCTTGAAGAACACAATTTGCCAAAACTCACAGAAAAATAAATAGACAATTTGAATAGCTGTATATTAAGGAAATTGAATCAATAATAACCTTCCAAAACAGAAGGCACCAGGACCAAATAGTTTACTGATGAATTCTACAAAATATTAGGAAGAAATGATACCAATTCTCTACAATTTCTTTCAGAGTAGAGAAGCAGAGGGAATACTTCCTAACTCATTTTATGAGGCCAATATTACCCTAATACCCAAACTGGACAAAGACATTAGAATAAATAAAAACTACAAATCAATAAATTTTATGAAAATAGCTGTAAAAATCCTCAGTAAATCATATCAAACAATGTATATAAAATCATACATCGTGACCAAGTGGGATTTATCCTAGCTATACAAGGCTGGTTCAACATTTGAAAATCAATGTTTGTATTCCATCACATCAACAAGCTAATAAATAAAAAATCAATATAATAAATAAATAAATAAATGAAAGAACTTTCATTCATTGCTGGTGGAAATGCAAAATGATATAGCTACTGTTGAAGAGAGTTTGAGAGTTTCTACAAAATTGAACTTACTCTTATCATACAATCTAGCAAACACATTTCTTGGCATTTACACAAAAGAGTTGGAAAGTTATGTCCACACACATATACACACACAAATGCACATGTGTGTTTATAACAGCTTTATTCATAGTTGCCAAAACTTGGAAACAACCAAGATATTCTTCAGTGGATGAAGAAATTAATAAACTGTGGTACACTCAGACGTTAAAATATTATTCAGCACTAAAAAGAAATGAACTACAAAGATATGGAGGAATGCATATTATGTACAGTATATTAAGTGCATATTGTTAAGTGAAAGATGCCAATCTGAAAAATCTATATGCTATACAATTCCAACACGATCTTCTGGAAAGGCAAAACTATGTAGACTAAAAGATCAGTAGTTGCCAGCGCTTGCAGGAAGGAAGAAATGAATACATGGAACACAAATGATGTTAAGGCAGTGAAAATACTCCATACGGTATTGTAATTATGCATATGTATCTTCATATTTACATTTGTCTAAACCCATAGAATGTACAACACCAAAAACAAACTGTAATGTAAACTACAGACTTTGGGTGATTATGATGTGTCAATGGGGGTTCATCAATTGCAACAATATGTACTACTCTGGTGAAGGATGTTGATAATAAGGGAAGCTATGCATGTACAGGGGCATGGAGTGTGGGAAATCTATGTTCTTTTCCTGAATTTTGCTATCAACTTAAAAATACTCTAAATAAATATGTAAACAAAAAGAGTAGGTTCTCGATAACTATTAATATTTCCTCCAAACCTGGCTCAGCAGTATGTATCATTATGAAGATGGCTTTGTTTTGATCTTCCTAAGTGTGCAGAACTTTACATTATTTTCAAAGGCAATTTAATAAAGATATTGGTGCCAGGGCATTTAAACAAGTAGTTTTTAAAAATTCTATGAGTCTAAGTAAAGCTAGAGATTCTGTCACATTCATAATATGTTATGAGCTATCATAAATATTATGAAATGTCAATCTCAAGAAATTCTATTTCTTTTCCAGAAATTTCCAGAGCTCACTTGGAAAAATAATTTTTTTCTAGATATGAAGCTCCAGATATTAAATGAAGAAACCTAATCAGTCACTTAAGTGATAGAAGAGAAAAGGAGAAACAGGACCTGAAGGATATTCTAAGGATAAAGGAGCAAGGGTTTTCCATTTTTTCTCAAAAGAGAAAGACAAGGTATTATAAAATATCTAGGAACAATGAGACCCATTTAGGAATTTTTTTTAATCACTCATATTTGAATTTACAAGAACAGAGTTCCCATGAGTCATAAAAAATGAGTGTAATACTGTGTGGAATCCTGATTTGTCTATGGATTTAAGTGAATTCCTGATGTTTCACATAATCAAATGTGGTTTGTACTACGTGATATAAAAAGCTCTAGAATCCCCTTTTTTCTGAGAACTTAATGACTGTTGAATCCTCAAAGCTGAGAAGATGCAGGCTACACAAATCTTGAAATCACCAGCTTCACCAGACCATGTTCAGGAAGCCATTTCTCATAGCTGGAAGCCAGCCAGCCATCCTGGGCTATGGAAAACTTGACGACATTTGCAGTGAGATTTAAGCAACTTGTGTAACAGTGGAACTTGGGACACATGTCAGTATGCTCAAGACTTACTGTCCCCAAGCACCATTTAGTTGACTTTTTACACTAATTATCTCACTCTGAGAGAAAATGGAAATGTGGGAAAAGGGCATGAAAAAAACAAGAGAAAAACCAAACAGAACAGTGAACAGAAAGCCCCAGAATCAGACTTGTCTTCATCTTTTTACCTGGGCCAACTGACTGAAAGTTGACATTTCTCAAGGAAAAGTAAAGACAACTATGTCTGAATATCATAAATATTTGGACAAGCATTAAATATGGCAGCATTAATAATGATTATACGTAGGTCCTGTTTTGCAGGTGGAAAAATTGAGACAAAAATGTTAAGTAATGTGGCTTTCATAGTACCTAAAAAAAAAAAAAAAAAAAAAAAAAAAAAAAAAAAAAGTACCTAAAAAAAAAAAAAAAAAGAAAAAATGAGAACTCTAAGATGAGGGAATTCACTTCTCTGAATTAGGAGGACAAATAAATAAGTTTATACTTAGCAAAAATACAAAATACAGCCCAGATAAAAAGCAAATAGTCTTTAGATAACTATAGAATCAAAACTGTTAATAGTTGTTTCCAAATTCTGTGACTTATTAATTCTTAGTCTACCTTGTTTGGTAGGACATCTCAGCAATGCATTTGTGGGCATTTATCTCCACATTCCTCCTGAATGAAGGCCAGAGGCAGATGAGAGGAATCAGAAAGCAGGAGAAAACGTAAAGTAAGGATTTCCATTTTAAATTCCAGAATTTAGACGTAAAAGGTTTTTGTGTAGTGTTGCCACGTACAATGTATATTTGTTGTGTTTTAGCTGTGTCTGTTCCTCTTTGATTTGGAAACACATTCTCAATCCCTAGAGTAAATTTGCACTCCACTGCTATGTGTGCTGCCTTCACGGGATTATTTGTCCAGGTGCCACTGTTCAAGTCGTGGGCCTGTGACTCAAGTTAGGCTAATTGTATTATCCCTTGAAGGACTTGGACTATTGAATAAAGATGCAAAGACCTAAAACCCTGACAGGTGTTTAATTTTAAGACGGCAGAAACTCAGGCCAGGCATGGCGGCTCACGCCTGTAATCCCAGCACTTTGAGAGGCCAAGCTGGGTGGATCACGTGAGGTCAGGAGTTTGAGACCAGCCTGGCCAACATGGCAAAACCCTGTCTCTACTGAAACTACAAAAATTAGCCAGGGATGGTGGTGCATGCCTATAATCCCAGCTGCTTAGGGGGCTGAGGCAAGAGAATAACTTGAACCCATGAGGTGGAGGTTGCAGTGAGCCGTGATGGTTTCACCGAACTCCAGCCTGGGTGACACAGCAAGACTCTATCTCAAAACAAAAACAAAAAACATGGAAGAAACTGCCCACCATTTCCTGCCACTTGAACTTCTAGTGCCTATCTCTCGCTGGGTCTACAATTTCCCCTTTTGTTCTAGAGAGTTAGCCAGCATCATTTCAATTAATGTATTAATATTTTTCATTTAAATCTCAGTCTTCAGGTTGCTCACGGCTTAGTAGGAAAGATATTGGCTCTCAAGATTTTAGCACATTGCCTGACACTTAGAAGACCTTCAGTAAATACTTTTCGAATGATTGTTATGATCAAGGTAAATGTTGGCTACATTGAAGTGTATAGATTATTATCTTACATTGTTTTGGGGTAGGTGTAGAGAAGGCTTACCAGAGGAATGTGGTTGAAAAAGTCATATTTTTAACCTCCCACAGTACCTTATAGAGAATAGGTACTCAATAAATGTTTGAATCAAAAACATAAAATCCTACAAAAATATGTTTCAGTAAATCTCAAATTGCTACAGTTTTACTAATTTTTGTTACAACTGCTATGATCTGAATGTTTGTGTCTCCCAAAAATTCATATGTTGGAGGCTAATCCCCAATGTGGTAAAAAGAGATGAGGCTTTGCGTGGTTGATTGAGTTATAAGAGCTCAATCCTAATGAATGGGATTAGTTCCTTTATAAAAGAAGCCTGAGGAAACTTGTCTCTCCTGCCACATGAGGACATGGCAATAAGGCACCATCTTTAAAGGAGAAAGCAAGCCCTCAGCAGACACTGAATCTGGTGGTTCCTTGATCTTGGACTTTCCAGCCTTAAGAACTGTGAGCAATAAATTTGTGCTACTCATAAATTACCTAGAACAAGATATTTTGTTCTAGCAGCCCTAACAAAAACAATAACCCTTCTAAGATTTGTTGTATTATACTGAATGAGACACCATAGATAGAGAAAAAAATTAAATCCTCCCAAAGTCAGGAATTTCATATCTTTTTTACTTCTGCCATCAAGTAAATATTACCATCCCCTGAAAGCAACAGAGCTGAGTTTTTTCTCATCTAGGTCTAAGGAATAACAAACATCCTGCTTTCTTTGAGTGCCAGAGCCAGTAACAGAAGAAGCTGGTGCAAATTCTCAAGAGGAAATGCTAATTTGACCTCTTTCCACAAATGTTGACACTTGACAGCTCTTTGTTTTTAGAACCTGACATCAAGGGTGTTATCAGGGTAGAGGAGGTCTTTTTGAGTTAAAAACAGGGCTCAGAGTTCTTTGATGAGAGCCAAAAGGCAGTCTGGGAACTGGAAATGTTTACTGAACCTATGTTAAGATTTGGAGAACTGTGCACAATATATATATTTTTGCCCATAACCTTCACAGTCTTTGCTTCTGGGCCTAAAATAATATTTTTTTTCTCTTTTGCTACCAAAGTAGAAGCATTTTGGGAAACTGTATATTTATGGAAAATATATCAAGAAAGACTTCAGAGCAGAATATTGCCAAGACTGTCACTTTAGGATAGTGCAAATAAATTAAAATAGTATTCTTAACTCAAGCAAAAAAAAAAAAAAAAAGAAAAGGTAGAATTCTTTCTATTCTACTTAGACTTTTCTGAGTTTTATAAGCATTGAGTACTAGACTAACAAAGTATCCAAAGGAAGATTTAGATAATTTGGGACATGCCTTAATGGGAATACAGTCAGTCTCAGGATTTTGTCATTTGGGACAATTGACGTGATAGTGTATGTCAGTTCTAGGACCAAACAGATGAACAACAGTCAAAACATGAGTTTGACCTTTTTTACATGAGAAAATCATGTAATTTCTAAGTTTTGATTTCTTCAACTGTAAAAAGCTAGTAATAACTTGACATAGGACTCTTATAAGAATTAAATAAAATAATATATATGAAAGTATTTTGTCCAACGTAAGCCACTATACAATGATAGTAATGATGATGATACTCATTATAATGATAAACTGAAAGCAGCAAAACAAAATCACTTTAGAAGCAAGGATGCCTTTACAAATAGGGGAAGGAATTCAGTCCACATTAAAATCTTCAAGTTTATCTAGAGAGTCTCTACCATCTTTGTTGAGAATCTCTATTGTGTCTTTTCCTGCAAAATCGAAGTTTTCTTCTGCCATTCTTTGTGTTCTCTCGTACCTTCGAGATGAAAGCTTGAAGCCGAAGCACAGGAAAAGAGAACAGTGTGTGGGAGAACACAGAGACAGTGCTGTGGACATACATCAGAATCGGATGGTCCGAGTTCTGCCCTTTGAACATGACAGTATCTATTCCTGGTAGAAAGGGAAGCGACAGGACAAGGGCTCTGGAATCCTTAGGAAGTTAAAGCTAGCAGTGGTTTTGCAGCTTTCTGACTATCTTCTGACTCCACTTATTTTTCCTGTTCCACAACCTTAATGTGTCATCTTGGATCTTGTCAGGCAGTGACAACAAAGCTGATGAGCCTATTCTTGAGATGCTGCAGTAGATGCAGGCCAAGTAACCTTTACGTCCTCTTCTAGGTCCGAGAGCAGAAATCTAGTATCTTTCACACTCCAAGGAAACTTTCAGTGGTCTTGGAAATTGCACAGCCCCCAAATGTCCTGGATGCTACCAATTACCAGTGTCAGATGTTTTACTATCACCTCTGATGGCCTCACCCTCACATTTGTCTCCATCAGCACTTCAAGGTTTCCCTCTTGTTCCCACTACCTCTGCTACTAGCTTTGTAAAAATATGCAATATATAGTGCACTGATTTTTATTAGACCCAGTAGTCTCATTTATAAAAAAATAAATAAAGAAAGAAGGAACCAGAAAAAAAGACTCAAATGTATTATTAAGAGCTCTTAATTTTTCTATTTGCTCTGCTTGACATTACTAAAATTTAGATGTCTGATTTATCCAGCCAATCTCTAGGTATGTCAGCATCTCAAAATAACTGTTCACAGAGTACAAACCATTTTATTAAGTGAAGATTATTAAAAACAGGCAACTCCCTCCTTCAAATATTTTAGGATTCCCTTTCTGACCTAACATAATTAAAATTCCAGCTGGTCAAATGCCACTTTATAAAACAAGTTTATCCATGTTAACTTAAAAAAAAGTTTTTTTTCATTTATATGATAAATTAATAAAGTAGTTTCAATGCAGATAAATAGAAAGACTACCTATAATCTCAGCACCAAGAAAGGGTTAACTTCTCAGATAAATTTGGTGCATTTCTCTTCTTCTGTGTGTGTTATTTTTCAGTTTAGCATGTACAATATATACAATTTTATTGTCTTTTTTTTTTTTTTTTTTTTTTTGAGATGGAGTTTTGCTCTTGTTACCCAGGCTGGAGTGCAATGGCATGATCTCGCCTCATCGTAACCTCCAACTCCTGGGTTCAAGCAATTCTCCTGCCTCAGCCTCCCAAGCAGCTGGGACCACAGGCGTGTGCCGCCATGCCCAGCCAATTTTTGTATTTTTAGTAGAGACGGGGTTTCACCACATTGACCAGAATGGTCTCGATCTCTTGACCTCGTGATTCACCCGCCTTGGCCTCCCAAAGTGCCGGGATTATAGGCATGAGCCACTGCGCCCGGCCAATTTTATTGTCTTTTTTTAACCTGTTTTGTCATAAGTCTTTTCCATCCATTAGAGAATTTTTATAAATACAGTTTGAATGAATGTTTATTAAATAAGTTATAAATTATTGTATAATATAAATAAAATAATAGACATTACATTTGTGGAAATTCTCTAATTTTATATAATGTATAGATTTTTATGTTATTTTTAAGTATATTACTATCTGAGTGAAAGTTACATCCAGAAGTGGCTTTTTGCTTTTTTGAATAATTAACATGATTAATATTTCTGTACCTAAGTATGTTTTCATCTTGAATTACTTTCTTCTTAGAATATATTTCCCAGGTCAGGCGCGGTGGCTCAGGCCTGTAATCTCAGCACTTTCTGAGGCCAAGGTGGGTGGATCATGAGGTCAGAAATTTGAGACCAGCCTGGCCAACATTATGAAACCCCATCTCTACTAAAAATACAAAAATTAGCCAGGGGGTGGTGGCTCTAATCGCAGCTACTCGGGAGGCTGAGGCAGGAGAATCACTTGAACCCAGGAGGCAGAGGTTGCAGTGAGCAGAGACCGTGCCACTGCACTCCAGCCTCACTGACAGAGCAAGACTCTGTCTCAAAAAAAAAAAAAAAAAAAGAATATATTTCCCAAATTGAAATACTAGGTGAAGTCATTAGAAGTTTTGCTTTGTGTTACAATTTTTTGGTGATCTTGATACGTAGGAACATAGCAAATTTTAAATCCTAGGCTAATTTCAAATCAATCCTTATTGAGGCCATCATAGAATAGGACTTGCATTTAATAATGGATAATATTATTGAGGATTTTATGTCACTCTTCTAAATCCTGCTTATTTCTCACAACAGCCCTGATATGAAGGCCCTATTATTAACCCTATTTAACAGAAAAGAACAACAAAGCCCAGAGAGTTGAAATAACTGGCCCAAGGTCACAGCTAAAGATAGTGAGAGTCAAGATCTGAACCCACACAACCTGATTCCAGGACCTTTGTTCTTAACTATCACTTGTCCTCTAATGAGATAGCAATTCTTCAGCTCTCAAGGCAGAAAAAAACTTTCTCTATATAAAATGTCTACTTACTATTTATTATCTGCTTCCTTTCATTAAAAAGAATAATCTTACTTGGAAGCCAGCAGAGTAAAATTAAAGCAATTACAAAGGTACACTGGCCAGAGAAGCTGGGTTAAAATGTTGCTAGAACAAGCTGATGTTTATGAGAAGAAAATTTCAGGGGAAACCTCATTTATTAATCCATTCTCACATTGCTATAAAGAAATATCTGACACTTGATAATTTATGAAGAAAAGAGTTTTAATTAACTCACAGTTCTGCAGACTGTACAGCAAGCATGGCCTCAGGAAACTTCCAATCATGGCAGAAGGTGAAGGGGAAGCAAGTATGTGTTACTGTGGTGGAGCAGGAGAGAGAGAAGAAGAAGAAGAAGAGGGAAGTATCACACACTTTTAAACAATCAGATCTCGTGAGAACTCACTATCACAAGAACAGCAAGGGGGAACTCCACCCACATGATGCAATCACCTCCCACCAGGTCCCTCACCCAATACTGGAAATTCAACATGAGATTTGAGTGGGTACAGAGGACCAAACCATATCACCCCATTTCCGAGGGACATGTTAGAGGAAACTCCAAAGTATTCAGACATTGCTCTCAGCTAATGTCTCTGAGCTGAACAAGGGATAACTGAATCTAAGTGGCAAAAGAAAGAAAGGTTTAGTTTGGAGGGAGTGTGGGAACCAGAAAATAAGTTAGTCAAGCAGGAAAAGTTCATCCACTGACCTGTGAGTACCCCTATGACAGAGGTCATGTCTTTTTAGCTATTATACCCCCAACACCAAACACACTGCCTGGCACATAGAAACACCTCAATAAATGATTTCTGAACAAAAATGAACTGTGCTAGGCTGGGCATGGTGGCTAACACCTGTAATCCCAGGACTTTGGGATCAAGGCAGGCAGATCACCTGAATTCAGGAGTTTGAGATCAGCTTGACCAACATGGCGAAACCCTGTCTCTACAAAAAATACAAAAATTAGGCAAGTGTAGTGGCACACACCTGTAATCCCAGCTACTCAGGAGGTTGAGGCAGAAGAATAACTTGAGCCCAGGAGGCAGAGGTTGCCTTGAGCTGAAATCATGCCGCTGCACTCCAGCCTGGGCGACAGAGCAAGACTCTGTCTCAAAAACAAGCAAACAAACAAACAAACAAGAACTGTGCTACTTGCCAAATGGCCTCCAAGGTCAACTCTCCAACAGAAGACAAGTGAAAGCCATTCCATATAGACATCAACAGTATGAGAACAAAGGAATGGATTTGTAGAAGGATATTTGACCTGCAGGATGAGTGAGCAAAATTGGAAATAATGCACAGATTAGAAGAAATAAGATCCTAAATAAAAGAGATGTTTTCTTATTTTAGAGATATAAAAAAGAAATTGCTAGAATTTTGTATCTGAAAACTGGAGGCTAACAGAAGAATCTCCTACCCTGCCCTTGAATCTAAGATTTTTACATAGAAAATGTTTTGACTCAGAAAATCAAACACCACATGTTCTCATTCATAGCGGGTGTTTAACAATGAGAACACATGGACACAGGGAGGGGAGCATCACACACAGAAATTTCCCCTATTTCTGTTCAGGGGAAATAGGGGATGGACAGCGGGGGGTGGGGAGTTGGGGAGAGATAGCATGGGGAGGAATGCCAGGTATAGGTGAAGGGGAGGAAGGCAGCAAATCACGCTGCCATGTGTGTATCTATGCAACAATCTTGCATGTTCTTCACATGTACTCCAAAACCTAAAATGCAATTAAAAAAAAAAAAGAAAGAAAATATTTTGACTCCATTTATGGATTTAGGAATTTTAAACGAAAATATCCTAACATTTAAAATTTTTGTTTAAGAATTCTTTCTGTAGCAATTTTAATTAAGGTAGAAAGAAAGAGACTGATAACAAGAGGGTAGGGGGAAAAGTCAAGGAAAGAGAGAGAGAACTTTAAAAATGCTTAATTCAAGGCAAGCTGTGAACCCTGAAGAAAAGTTATGCTTATGGATGTTTAGCCTCATGTGATTCTTACAATTTTAATATATGTTTCACTGTGTGTAACTCTTACAGATTGGAATTTTTCACTTTCTAACTTGGTATTTTATATCCCTTGCAGTTAGTAGCTATGGCTTCTACATTGTCCTTGCCCATAGATCTTAAAATGATACCATTTATCACTGACTCTAAAATGATGCCAAAAATGACCATAATGATGTTGAAGAACTTTTTCCAAATGTATCTTGTGTTAGTCCATGTTCACACTACTGATAAAGACATACCCAAGACTGGATAATTTATTAAGAAAAAGACATTTAATGGACACACAGTTTCTCATGAATGCAGAGGCCTCACAATCATGGCAGAAGGCCATCTTACATGGCAGCAGGCAAGAGAGAATGCGAACCAAGCAAAAGGGGAAAACTCTTATAAAATCATCAGATCTCATGAGACTTACATCCACAAGAACAGTATGGGGAAAACCATCCCCATGATTCAATTATCTCCCACCAGGTCCTTCCCACAACATGTGGGAATTATGGGAGTACCATTCAAGATGAGATCTGAGTGAGGACACAGCCAAACTATGTTATATCTGCTCATCTCCCAAGCAATTCAAGGTTAACTTGAAAATATTTAGCAATGCAATTTTAAATGCCTGCTCTTCATAGAGTTTACATAAACATTTGGTAAGTTGGGGAGCAATATTAATTGACGGTTAAGAATATAGTCTTTAAGACCTGGGGTTAAGAATATAGTCTTTAAGACCTGGATTCCAGTCCCAGCTCTGCCACCTACTAGCTGTGTGATCTTGAGGTAAGAGAATTGAGCTGTAGGGTTCTCATTATAAAATGGGGATAATACTGTCTACTTGATAGGATTGTCATCAGACATAGATGGCATGATATATGTAAAGTGCTTAACACCGTGTCTGGTATTTACTGGGCAACAAATAGTAGTTGCTGCTGACCCTAATTCAACTCTGCAGAGTTTGCAAAGTGGACCATAACTGTTACAAGAACAGGATTCCTCATGAGACTCACATAACTTCCTGAATATGGGTAGGCCAGAAATTGTCTGGGAACTGGAAGGAATGTTTCCTTCCAGATCTGATGAATTCCAGGACTTGCAGAAAATGCAGAAGTGAAAATCATTAACTAACATCTGCAAAAATCATTATATATGAATGGGTGAATTTTGCATTTATTCTCATTGAATCCCAACTATGTTTCAGTTCTTGGTAGGTAGTTTCCACCTTTAATTTGTACGTTTGCCTTGGGCTTTGTTCACATCTTTTTTCTGTTGACATTAAGTTCCCCTGTGGCCTCACAAACAAACTTGTTCTCCTATGTGGCATATGGAAGTTGAAGACTTGACTATGAAAAGACAAAGACAACTGATTGGAAGAAACTGTTATTTGACTTTACAGTTGGAAGAAAACATGTGATTTGCTAGTGAATTTTCTTTTTCCTCTTTGTTTATTGAAGACTGAAGAGGATACTTTCTCCATTTTTCCTCTTGATCCTGTGCATTACTCCTTCCACTCTAAAATAAATAAGTGAAAGTAAAATTCATATATATAAAACATGTTCAAACAAGCCTCAGTACAGGGCAATAGAAATGCACAAAGCCACTGAGCAGAATGCATAAGAAAATTTCACTAGCAGTAATATAGAAAGCAAGGCCTTAATTTACATATGTGTGATAATTTGAATCCTAAAATTGAGTTGAATACTTTTATAAGCGAGGCTCACAGTTTTATTATTTAACTGACTTGCAAACCTTTTTTTCCCAATTTAAACTGAGTCGAAGGTCAGTCATGTCTAAAAGGCCAGAAAGACATAGACAAAAATCATTAGTCTCCCTTTCTGGGGCGTGAATTAACTTTATAGCATCCACTTTATAGCATAGACCATGATTCCTGCCTATGATTTAAAAATCTAGGAGAGTAATAATATTTTAAATGGGAGGGAGATATAACACATTCACTTGTAATTTTAAAAAATGAAGTAAACTGAGAAAAGATACCAACACATAAAAAAGCAAATGAGAAACCAGAATAAAAATAGACAAGATGAAGCAAAATCAAATTTATAAAAGAGAATTGACTAGACTGCATAAAAAGGCAAAAATAAATCAAAACAATTGTATAAATTAGTAGGAAAAGACAAAATAGGTTTTGATCAATACTTTAATGGAATAGAGATTAGAAGAATATATAAACCAAATAGGGGTGTGTGTGTGTGTGTGTGTGTGTGTGTGTGTTGTGTTCACTATATTAAGATGATGACACAAATTCAAAAGAATTAGAGTTATATCAAGCCAAATATAATTCTCAAAATTAAAAAGCTGTGAAGTTCAACATACTATACTTTTTTACCTTTCTGGGCATGATGTTGCTTCATGGGTCCTGTAGACTGATAGCTAGGTAGAGCTGGGCAGCTACAGAGAATCCACGTTTTTCCCTATGAGTCCAGGAAAAGTCTTCTGTCACTGTCTCAGCCTGTGAGAGACACCTATATCAGGAGACGTACCCTGCTTAGTGAATATGTGCCAAGTCTGTCCTGCAGACTCTGGCTGAGCTACAGATGAAAGGAGTTCACAGACACAGGTATTTTGCCTGTGAGTGTGCTAGGGGACCTCAATAAACGGGAGATGCTCGCATTTATTTAGTACAGATTTCATGACTAAGGCCTGGAGCAAACACCATTTGTGGGTAATTAACATTGTTGTCCCCTTTTCAGGGAGGAGTCATGCATGTAGATGAGGAAAGCTCCATTTTGGGACAACGTGAGTAAACAAGCCATTTAGATAAACTCCCCTACATTCCCTTGTACTTACTCCTCTCCCTTTGCCTTAGGGTAAGAACAGCCCCTTCAGCTCATTCTCCCCCGAGGATATGCAAAAACTTCCCAGCCTTCCAAGTAGTTCTGCATCTTTTCTATCATTTTTCCTATCACCCTGACCGATTTCCTACAAATATGGGACCAAGAATCTATTGCTTCAGCCACACCCAGCAAGGGTGTGAGATGTGACCAATTTTACATCATTTTGGCAACAGCAGAAACCAGTCATTATGGTAATAAAGAAATTCGTTTTTCAGATTCCATTTCACCTAATTTGAACAAACTTAATATTTTCTGCCTGTTCATAGTCAAGGCTGTATTTTTGCCCCTCAAATAATATGGATGCAAAGCCTTTTGAAAATGTTTAGTTGTCATTAATTTTTTTTAATGTTCAAATGCTTCAAATGTTCAAAGCTGAGTTAGATAGATAGGGTTCTTTCAAGTGCACTTTGGAAGTAGAAATTAATATCAAGTAGCTCAATTTTATGATAAATAGAAATATATAAATGTCATTGATAATAGCTCTAATGCACAATCTTGTGTTAATTTTTAATTTTATTATAAAATTAAGTGCACTTTTATATTCTTCATCTAATATCTCATTACATTATGACTCTAATCCTAGATTATGGTTTTGATTTAATCTTTTTGTTCTGTTATCATTTTGAATGTTTCTTATTTCTAAGTAAATGAACACAAGGAGAACATTAATTTTTAAAGTACTAATTACATATCAGTGTCTTAATGTGTTTTCTTTATCAGACACCTCAACATTCCTTGCACATCTGAGACATCTCACCTTAAACTGCCTATCTAGATAGCTCTCAATGTTCCACAGTGTCTGGAGTGTCATCAGTCACTAGGGAGGATGGATCTCTACTTTCTCATTTTCTCTTAGATGTTGCAAAGTTACCAAGCCTTCCTTTAAAAATATTGCAAAGTTTGGTTTGGAAGAAAGTTGTGTCACTTTTGGCTGTTACTGGAAAAGTTTGTCATCACTTCAGTAATATTCTTCCCGGTTATTTCATATCTTGGCATCCATATGCCCTTCAAAAAAAACATAGTTAAGTAACAGAATTGAACTCTCCCAAGAATTCCTTAAGAATGCATTTTTGTTCTGAAAACTTTCTCCCTTAGATTTTATCCTCAGTTCAAAGCCTATTCTTGCAAATACTCTGTCAGAGAATGCACAGAAAATGTTTTTCAAGGCACAAATGTGTTTAAGGAAATCCACTGGTGAGACAAACATATTTGAGAGTCTCACAGAGATCCTAATAGGATGACCCAGTAGAAATCACTGAAGTACACAGTGTTGGAGAAAATTGCAGTCAGTCTATCAACAAAATTAATTGGATGCCTGGCCATGAACTAAGTGCTGACTTTATTCAGACACGAGAGAAGGTAGAATCACATACAGTCACTCACAAGGAATAGTTTGGGAGAAAACACAAATTCTTTGTATGAGAGTCAGATTTCTATAACTTGAATTTTTTTCTGAACTTGTAAGATAAAATAAGTTCTGTGACATTTAAAGGGTCTCTCCAGCAACTCCTGACATTGCAAGATTCTAAAATGTTTTCTAGTACTTCTACAGAAACCACTCTTTCTTAACAAAACTATAATATTTTAACTAAATGTCTTGGCACAGAAAACGACTATGCAAGATATAAGTTAAATTAGAAGGAAAGAAAAAGTACCTTAAGGAAAACAAAATTAAATTTTAAGCTGCATAATAATAATCATTTACATAGCATTTACTATGGGTTAGCCACCTTTCTCAGCACTTCATATATTTTAACATATTTCTTCCAAGAAGTTAATGAGCTGGATTTTAATACAAATCTTATTTTTATATGCAGAAAGCCAAACACACACACCAGCTTAAGTTACAAAGAATAATGATTCAAACTTTGAGAGTCTGGTTCCAGAGCTTTGCATATAAGCATTACATTATACTATCTCTTAATGCCCCGATGGTGTTTCTACATGTTTAAGAGCACAACTTTCCGCTCTGATATCTCCAAGTATAACTAAAACAAGTTATTTATTGAATCAACATTGATTGACTAGACATATCAATGAGAATAGAAAAATCAACAAACAGTAGTGGAATGAGGAAAACCACAAGACAGCAAGCAAGCGTGATGTAGTATCAAAACAAAAATAGCAACTAAATTCAAAATGCATTTAAAACTTATTATTAAAAACTAAACATGTAAACAGTGCCAGAAAAAAATACCCAAGCAAAATGTTAAAATATAATTCTTAGAGGAATAATATCGGGGTGGAATAAAACTGGCTTTAGCTTTCTGGTGAAGGCCTTGGAGGTCAGGGTCATTATGCTGCATGGAAAAATAATTACTGAAGATGCCAACCAATTTGACTTAGGTCTATAGCACATAGACTCAGCATCAGCCAGTCATTGCAAAGACATGTCTGTTCTAGCAAAGGTATAATTTTGTAGCAGATAAAATGCATTTTAATAATAAGCTTTATTGTATTAAATTAGTAATGATACCAATATAATAATTCTTATGTTTACTCACTGCATCGCTAAGACTTAACAATCACTGCTGTCAGTTTTAACCGCAAAACTGTCCTAATAACTTGCTTTTATTCATATAGAATGAGGTATTTCACTAGGCATTGGCTTAATCTGAACGTAGAAATCATATATTTTTAAAAATTAACACATGGGCCGGTTACAGTGGCTCATGCCTGTCATCCCAGCACTTTGGGAAGCCGAGGTGAGCGCATCATAAGGTCACAAGTTTGAGACCACCCTGGCCAATATGGTGAAATGCCATCTCTACTAAAAATACAAAAAAATTAGCCAGGTGTGATAGCACAAGCCTGTAATCCCAGCTACTCAGGAGGCTGAGGCAGGAGAATTGCTTGAGCCTGGGAGGAAGAGGTTGCAATGAGCTGAGATTGTGCCACTGCACTCCAGCCTGGGCGACAGAGTGAGACTCTGTCTCAAACAACAACAACAAAAAATTAACACATGAATAAGCTATTTCACTATGTTTGGATTAAACCTCTTATGATGAATATAGAAGGAAGTTGCTTTGACATCATGACTCCATAGCTCTTAGAAAAATGCTTGGCATGTACGATAGGTGCTCAACCCATATTTCTTGCTTGAATGAATAAATAAAAGCATCTGACCAATAAGCAGAAAAGCAGGCAGAATGTGTTTCCCTTAAATATGATAATATAGGAACTTGAGTTACTACTCTACCTCTTATTAAAGTGAAATAAAAATAGAAGAGAATTCTGGTTTCTGGTGCAGCATATAAGGAACTTAGAAGTCATCACTCTGTCTTACAAACAAGTAAAAACCTAGGCAAACTGATAAATGAACAACTCTTCTTAGATCTGTCAGAGAAGTGGGATCACAAGGCAAGCCACTCCCAAATTGAAGATATAGGTAGATTCAGAAAATCACAATTTACTGAAGCAAAAGCCTCTTCAGAAACCAGAACTGAAGTAAGAATCATAACTAACAAACTACTGAAGAATCAATGTGGGCAAAGCTGAGAGCTAAAAACTCTAGGGATACCTAGTTGTAGGGAACCCCTCATGCTTTGGGAGTTTCACCTCCAGGAGCTCTATCAGGTCGGCACCATAAATATTTGAGAAAAAAAAAAAAAACTTCTTGTTTCCAGCAGTGGGAGATAAAAGGTAACCACTCTGACATACCTCAAAGCATTCTGCTTTTCTCAGAGCCTAACCTACTAGGATGTAATCAGAGCCTAACAAGCCCAGGAAAAGGGAATATTTAACTCGAGGGGTTTCTAGCCTTCCATGTGGGAAAAGGAAATACTCAGCTCCAGCTCCCTCTAAGTCTCTTGTTTAATATTAATGTGGGAGGAAACCTGAGGGGCACTTCTGAAGCTCATGACTCAGAGGCACAGACTTGCTAAAAGATGGAGATCTGCTGATAAGACTCTATAAGGTCTTTTATGCCCCCACACCTTACACCATAATACCAAAGGCCTATTTAATGCAGCTTATTTTACTCAATATATTATGTCTGCCTCTCAACAAAAATTTACAAGGCATACTAAAAGGCAAAAATCACAGCGTGAAGAAATCAAATAAGCATCAGAAGCAGAATCAAATATAACAGGAAAGCTAGACTTCTAAATTCAAGAATTTTAAAAATCTATAATCCAAATACTAAGGGCTTTAATAAAGTAAGCAGATAACATGCAAGAAGGGATACATAATGTAAGCAGAAACAGAAATTCTAGGGCACGGTGGCCACGCCTATAAATCCCAGCACTTTGGGAGGCAGAGATCACAAGATCAGGAGATCGAGGCCATCCTGGATAACATGGTGAAGCACCATCTCTACTAAAAATACAAAAAATTAGCTGCGCATGGTGGCATGCACCTGTAGTCCCAGCTACTCTAGAGGCTGAGGCAGGAGAATCACTTGAACCTGGGAGGCGGAGGTTGTAGTGAGCTGAGATTGCACCACTGTACTCCAGCCTGGGCGATGGAGTAAGACTCCGTCTAAAAAANAAAAAAAAAAAAAGAAAGAAAAGAAAATGAAAAGAAATTCTATTCTAAGAGAGACACAATAGAGGCAATAGAAATTTTGACAAAGTGAAAACAAAGAGAAGAAAAAGACTGACTAAAAAAACTAGAAAAGAATGTTTAAGCATGGTGGGACAAGTGCAAGAGACACAAATAGGAATAACTGGAATATTAGAGAAGAAGAAACAAAGGAACAGGATAAACATTTAAAGCAGTAATGATTGTGAATTTCAAATTACTATCAAATTATAGAAATAGGAAGCTTATAGAACACCAAGAAAGACAAATGCCCCACACCCCAAAATATTCCTAGTCCTATCATATTCAAACTTCAGAATATTAAAGATAGAGAAAGAAGATAGAGGGAAAATAAAACACTTTACCTATAGAGGAGCAAAGAACCAGATGAAACTTCTCCCCAAGAACCACGCAAGTAAGCAAAGTATAGGACAATATTTAAGTGTTGAGAAAAAAAAATGCAAACCTAGAATTTTGTGCCCTGTGAAAATATCCTTGACAGGAAGGAGAAATAAAGACTTTCTCAGTCAAACAAAAATTGAGAGAATTGGTTGCCAGAACTGCCTTGCAATGAATAAAAAAAGAAATTCATCAGAGGAAGGAAAATTATATAGTTTCAGAAACTACATAAAGGAAGAACAGCAGAGAATGAATAATTAAAGGTAAAACTTTTATTTTTCTGATTCTTAATTGATTTAACAGATAAGAGTTTGTTCAAAATAATAATAACAAAGTATTTAATGATGCATACTTAGGTGCATATATATGCATAAGTGCATGTATATATAAATATGTGTAAGCTTATGAATAAGTGAAAATGAATGACAGCAATGACACATAAGACAAGAGGAAAGAATTATGATTATTTTGTTTTTATACAGTACTCACACTACTCCTTAAGTGATATTGTGTCATTTGAAAGTGGACTTAGATTAGTTGTAAATGTGTATTACAAACTCTA